CAAGATATCATTGAATTTTAGACAAAAGGGTTGGTCAGCTTCACTGGGGTGGTTGCGGCTCACCAAGTCCTGAAATTTTGTTAGATAGGAATGAGTAATTGTCCAATAGAGAATATATTTAACTACGTATATAAACATTTGATTTAAATTATGCATAACCATGCCCCTTACTCATGAACACTAATCCCCCAACTTCATACCCCAATTGTCATCGTTTCCCTTAATTCCACATTTCTCCATCCTTACATGAATGGCCAGTGGGCACCTCAAGTTTTCCACATTTGTCGTCCTCACATGATCGGGCATGTGGACCCCTCAACCAGTCCCACATTTGTCGTCCTCACACGACCGGGGGCACTTCAATTTTTCCGCCCGGGTAAGACCATATCACACAACAAGCAACTATCCAAAACTCAAATTTCATCTCAACACAATGGATCTCAATACATTTCCAATTTACCCATTAATTTCTTTTCTATTACCAACCAAGACCCATGAAGAATAATTGGGGGTTTTCCTTCTATTCTTTCATTTTTCCAAGATACATGATGTGTTCATTATTTTTCATTAAGAAATAATCAATTCTTCCACAAATTTTAGGGCAAAACTCACTATCACCATTAATGTCCATATATATACACATCACCCATTCCAAATCACACATCCATATCATGAGATTAACACATATTCAAACCAAAATATAGATATACAAGGGTAAAGATATTCCTACCTCAAAAGGTTGTGAGTGAAGAGATGAAGACCCAAAGAATGAACTTTCAAAATGACACGATCCAATCGGTTCAAAATGTAGCTTTCAGCGAGGTTAACAACTTTGATGAAGGCACAAGGATGGATCCTTGCTATAAATGGATGAAATCTAGTGTTTTAATACTAGGGTTTTCGGAAAAGGGTGATAAAGAGAGAAAAATTGTGAAAAAGTGAGCCCAAAATGTGTTTAGATTGAGTTTTAAAATTGCTGACCTAAATAGACCGCTCGAGTAAACTTTTCATCGCTCGAGCGATGCACTCAATACAAGCAGACTGCTTGAGCTAACTTTCCATCATTTGAGTGATAAATGTAAGGTCTTAGAAGTTTTGCAGAGCTACAGTGAAAATACTGGGAGCTTCATTTCTATGCTTGAGCGATCACTTTACCGCTCGAGCGATCTCGCCTGCAAATGGGCAAGATACTAGGAGCTCTGCTTCACCGTTCGAGCGACCGATTTACCGCTTGAGCGGTAGCTTAGAACAAGTTGTTACAGGTTGTGGAGGAATACAGAGGTTTGCGTAAGGAGGGTGTTATCTTCACGGTGGACTTTGAGAGAGTATATAATCATGTAGATTTTGGACTTCATTTTGAAAAGGAAGGGTTTCGGTTTTAGGTGGAGGAAGTGGATTTATTGTCGTGCAATATGTCAGTTATTGTGAATTCTTTTCAAACGTCTAGGGGATTAAGGCAGGGTGACCCATTATGACCGTTTTTATTTATTTTAGTTGTTGACGTGTTGGGGAGGTTAATCAACATTGCTAGGGATAAGGCTGTTATGGAGGGGTTGTGGTGGGTAGAGATATGATTGATGTCACTCATTTACAGTTTGCAGATAGTATTTTTTTCTTTGCAAAGGAGGAAAGTAAGGTTCGTAATTTGCTTATGCTTTTGAGGATCTTTGAAGTTGTGCTCGACATTAAGGTCAATCTTAGTAAGAGTAGTGTTGTGGGTATTAATCTAGAGCATAGTTGTGAGCAACGAATGGTAGCCATGTTGGGTTGTCCCATTGAGAAGTTCCCTCTCAAGTATCTCGGCCCTCTATTGGGTGGAGACCCTAGAATAGAGACCACCTAGAATCCAGTTTTGTTAAGATTGGGAAAAGATTGGAGGGATGAAAGTGAGCGTTTTTATTTTATTTTATTTTTTTTGGTGGGGGGAGATACACTTTGGTACAGGTAGTGTTGAGCTGTATTCCTATTTATTTTGTATCCTTGTTCAAGATACCGGTTCGAATTGCAAGGAAAATTGAGAAACTGACGAGAGACTTTCTTAGGGAAGGGTGTGATGAGGGTAAAAAGGATTACTTAGTTGGATGGGAGGTTGCCTCTCTTCCTAGGAATAAAGGGGGTCTTGCTATTGGGAACATTGTTGCTAAAAACATTGCCCTCTTGGGCAAATGGTTATTGAAATTTCCCGATGAAAGCGAGTCCTTATGGTGTTCTATTATTAAAAGCAAGTATGGAGTTCAGGCCAATGGTAGAGATTCTATTGTGGTTAGTAGAGGCAATTGTCGTTCTCCTTGGAAGTCTATCTCTCGTTTATCTCCACTTATGTCTCGGTTTTCGTCTATGAAAGTGGGTGATGGGGCTAGTATATGATTTTGGGAAAATGTTTGGTTGGGGGATACATCTTTCGATAAAGCTTTCCCACTTTTGTATCGATTGGTTCATTCTAGAAATGTTTCAATTGCGTTGGTGGCATGTTCTACCGTGGCACCAATTTCTTGGAATTTTAGTTTCCTTAGGAATCTAAGCGATAGGGAGTTTCTTGAGTTGGCATCTTTGTTGACATTGATTGATGGGGTTTTGTTATTTTTATCTTCTGATAAAAGGGTGTGGAATATCAGCTCTTTAGGGCGCTTTTCTTGTAAATCTTTGTTTGAAAAACTCATTGATGAGTCTTCCGTTCCTTTGTTTCCTCTTCATATGAAAATTTGGAATGCGGGTGTCCCTCATAAAGTGAAGTTTTTCATGTGTGGTCCTTAGTTCAAAGAGGTGTCATGACCAATGACCTATTCCAAAGGAGAAGGCCTTGTCACTATCTTTTCCTTCAATGGTGCGTGATGTGCAAGAGGTGTTCGGAATCAGCGGATCATCTCTTTCTTCATTGTTTGGTGGCTCTTGATGGCAGCGTTTCTTTGGCTTGTGTGATGTTCAATGGGTTGCTCCAAGGGATTGCACACATATGCTTCTTGTTAAGTTTGAAGGGTTCGGCGGCTCTAAGAGAGTCAACACATTGTGGTCTTGTATTGTTTGTGCTATTTTTTGGATTATTTGGTTGGAGAGGAATTCGAGGATCTTTGATGGAAAGGAGGCTGCTGCAGATTCTTTATGGGATAGGGCTGGGTTTTTGGCTTCATTTTGGGCTTTTGCATCTCCTCCTTTTAAAGGAGTTCCACTCTTCTTGATTTATAGGGATTGGGTTGCTGTTCGCAATCCTTAGTGATTGGATTTCCTTGGTTTCTTTTAGTTTTTTGATGGTTGTTTTTATTTTATTTGGTCCTTCTTCACTGTATGAGGACTTCTTGTCCTCTACCTTTTCTGTTAATAAATTTCGTTGTTGATTTTTCAATAAAAAAGGATTCACAAACAGATCCTTTACAGTAAAATTGAAAGTTATGTAGGAGATCCATTTTGAGCTTATGAATTCCCAAATCCACCTCCTCAAATGTGCCTAGTTCTCTACCGTTACAACCTCCACATCGAACATAAGGGAGTGACCATCCAAGCTTTCTTCTTAGTTTTTCTTCTACAATCATGCCTCCAACAACTTAACACATCCTTTACCAATCTTGGCATTTCCCACTGAACCCCAAAGATGGTGAGCAACAAGCCCTAAAGCTTTTGCAAGAGTTGTGAGGTGTATATGATGGCAAAAATGTCATCGTCTTCAAATGTGCATGGCACCATAATAATATGTTATAGCATATTGCCACCCTTATTTAAATATTGAGCTTCTATAAATATTTATATAGGCTCTTTTTTTTATTCTAAATATTTCCATACATTTCTGATATGTTTTTTTTCGTTTCCCATATATTTTCAAAATGTTTTCATTTCCAAGCTAACCTAAACTGCACACCAAAATGATTTTTTTTATCCTTGCTTGACAAGTGATGGTGAAAATTGTCATATAAAAAAATTGGGCTCCCATCACTGCCTCCAATGTGCTGGAAGTTCTTGGATTAAGGCTTGGACTTATTGTTCTATTGGCAATTCTGGAGTTTAAAGAAGTAGTATGAAGATAAAAGTTAAAAACTAGTGTTAGTTTCCATGATGGAGCAAATCATGAATTATAGTAATTTTCTAGGGGATTTTCTTCCATGGATTCTACGATAAGTTAGGAGTTATTTGAGCCAATTAGGTGTAGGTGCATAGCATTTTATATAATTTTCATTTGGATATTGTGGAATATCTTTGCAAAAATAGGTTGGAATTAAAGTTGATTCAAGGAATAGAGGACCTATTCTAGTTTTATTTTTTATTTTAATTTATATATATCCTTTGTAATAAAGAATGAGCAAAAATGGAAAGTCGATTTGAAGATTGTGTAGGGTAGCAGATATTTGTGCTAGGCCGTTGAGAGGCTTGTGGATAGGATTCTTGTGAGTTGTGATGTGTTAAGAGTAGTAAATAAATGGGATGATATGGTTCACAATCTTTAATTTTTTGATAAGCAAATATTGTATTAGAAAAAGTGCCGGAAGGGGTGCATCGTATGTACAAAGTCTATGAGAAGTCAAAAAGGCTCAACACAAAAATTGAGTTCACCTATAAAACCTACAAGAATAAAGGAGAATTTATAAAAAAAATTCCTTTACACCAAAATATGGAAACTATGCAAAAGCCTCATCCTAAGCTTTAGAATTGCTAGCACTGACTTAAAAAATGCATCTATTCCTTTCTCTCAACAAATGCCAAGTCATATTGCCGTTTAAATGACTTGCTGCGATGCTGGATTTTTCCATGAATGTCTCATTTTCAAAAACTAACAGCATAATGGGACATTTAGGGTCTTTTATAATTGCTCTATATAATTCTTTTCTACTTTTTTGTTTGTCCCAAGGAAGGGACTCATTGTGTTCTATGTGCTTCCTTTGATATAAGATAAGAAAAATTGATAGATGTTGAGCCTTTGCCTTCTAACAAGATAATGTCGTGCTTTAAATGAAATTTGTTGAAGAAAATATTGTTGTATGTGATCAATAATCAGTACTTTTCATTTCTTTCAGCTGTCATAATGCCACATCAACCTAGAACCAAGGGAAAATCTGCCAGTAGGAACCATGAGGACATCCAAGTAAATAGAAGGTCTTCTTCTACAACAGATGAACTTGTACAACTCTTGAGACAACAAGCATCACAGAGGCAGCCACAAACAGGTTTAGGCATAGGTACTCCAAATGTCTCTCTCAATTTAATTTCTTAGATATTGCTCTTGAGAATATCCTAATGCTTTCAATTAGTACCTTGTAGATGTAAATTCATGCATTTGTTTTGTTTTGCTTAAACGTAGAGAATCTTTGCCATTTTACTGTCTACATTTTTTCATTTATCAAAAAGAGCAAAATATTCGTTGTCTAATTTTTTTCGGTTGGTTTGTTGTCTACATTGTTCACACCATTGGCTACTGTTATTACTTCATTTCTTCACCTTTAATTTCTTAAATATGTTGTAATTGAAGACGAAAATGCAAAAAAATGTAGTAAAGTGATAAGCATTTGATATGTAAGAATTATCAGTGTTAACACTTATGAATAGGTAGGAGTCAGGTTAAACAACTGAAGTTTGTCATCTATGTTTACATGGAATAGGGTTGGGGTGTTGGGTGCTTATCTAGGGTTCAAATCCATCATATCTCTGGCTGAAGGATATGGTACCCTGGCGAAAAAGGATGATCTTTTTAATTAAAAAAAAAAAGAATTGTCGCATAAATTTATGTTTTTTTATGAAACATAGTTTGTAAACGTTGTATTGGATTTAATGTAAAATTACCTGAAATAACAAGTAACAATGACAATAGACGACTACAAAGACTAGAATGAAACATGAACACAATTGCGAGAAACTTGTTACATGGTCTTGGGTAAAACAGTCCCAAAAACTAGTTATTGAGGTGATGATGCCCTCATTCTTATATACTTGACATTACTTTAGTACTTAAATGATGTGGGATTTTGCTTCACACCTACCCTCATGCGTAGCGTGCTCACTCGACAACACTTGTCACGTGCAAGCTAGGGACACGCACCTTACCCATCCGTATGTAATTTGGCTCTGATACCATGTTAGTCGTTCTTGGATAGAACTCAACCCTAAAAGCTAGGCGATGTGCCCTTACTCTTATATACTTCACATTACTTTAGTATCTAGGCGATGTGAGACTTCGCTTCACAAAACTATAGTTAGTTTTAATTTGACAAAATAGTAGCCAGCTGATAATATGAGTTTATCTACACTATTAACTGAAATGGTTTGAAACGGTTTGAAACTTGGGTGCAACAAGAATGGAAGGATGGGATTTGGTTTGAGCTTTTGAGAAAAGATCAAAGTGGTCCATGATCTATTCTAGCCATTAATAATGGAATAGGATTTGTTCAGCTTTTTCTCAAAATTGAGGTCACATGAATTGGTCAATAAATGTTAACTCTTATTTTCTCAAAATTGATTGTACTTCTTTATGCGACTGCATATACATTTGTTGGGGGTTCTACTTCCCTACTGAAAATAATTGTAAATAATCATGTTTGTTTTTCTGTTTTGAATCTTAATTGATAGCAACATGTTGGAATGTTTGTAATCTATCTGAATTTTTTTCCCATTTTATTTTTGTTTGGTGAGCAGCGTCATTTGATCAGGGTTATCCTTACTCTTTGCCCGCAAGGAAGCGCCCTGTTTCTCTATTGGTGAGTCTTATATTGGTTAATGTATGCTCTCTTGTTAATTTGCGTTCCTTTTCAAATGCCTTCATGTTTTCTGTGCAGGGAGATGACCCTCTTTATTCAGATCCCAGAGGGTATCCTCGTGCACGCTTTGAAAGTTCTTTTACAGCTGCGAGCCCAGGGTGTGTTTTTTTTTTTTAAACATTGTCTGATATGTATTCGTAATTAGTGATATCATCAACGATTAATCCATTTTGCATGCATGATAAATGATTCTTTCACCCGTACTTTCAGATTAACATCTTCCTGTACATTTTGTTCATTTAAAAATAATGATTTTCTTCTTTTGTTTTCCTTGTATTTTGTTACAGTGTATTGTCCCAGCGTGTTGGTGCGACATCTTTGCCCTATTACCGCCAGCAAGGTTCTGGTCATGCATCTGGTAAGCTTATACATCACAGTATCTCAGGCTTAGAATTAAGTATCAGGTTTTGATTTATGATGATTTTCATTTTTATTGTCAGGATCACTTCATGGGGTTGAAGATTATCCCAACAGTTTTCAGGTATGGGGTCCATACATTCTAACTACTTTCTGGTGTTTTTCATTGAGAAATACTTTGGTTTATTAAATAACACAAGCTTCTTTCAGCTTATGCAAACTTGTCAATTTGACAAGTTGCAACATATGACTCAGTTGTGCCAATATTATGAGAATTGTGGGTAAGGAAGTTGGTGAGAGTTTGACAGGAATGACATTAAAAATCAATTTTGATAATAGTTTTATAAAGTAGATATACTCCAAAAAGAAAGGGGAAAGGGGGAGGGAGTGAGGAGCACTGCTTGCAAGCCCCTTTTCAAGTGTCTCAATATTTTACCAGCCTAATCATGTGAATTGTATGGTTGTAAGATAGCCTTTTAAGTCATATAGAAACTCAGCCTCTTTATTTTCTTATCGAAAATGTTCTTTCAAATATTTTAATCATTTTGAAAGCAAAATGATGGAAGTTCTTGAAACACTGTTTATTGTCATGAAAGTTGAAAATGAAATCATGGTAGACTACAGTTTTGTGTTTGCAACGATGGATTTAACTGAATTTTTCTTTTTTGTTGTATTGTTCCATTTTTTAAGTTCTGATTTGTACTGTTTTCAAATACATGCCCACATCATGTTTAACTTAAAGTTATTAATTAGGAATTTTATTTTTGTTTAATTCTTATCTTACATACAAATCCATGATCATTCTCATATCTAAATTTTGCTTCACAGACAAGAGGGGCTCCTTACCATGGAAATAGTGGCAAATATGATAGATGTAAGTCATCTCATGTCTTTCAGTGTTTCAAATTTGGGCATGACTTTTCTATTTTTGATTTGTGATAGTTACATTGTTTTTATTTACGAGGAATGCTAGAGATCCACAATCTAGAATCCACAATGACATGGGGAGTTGGGCCTTACATGGTTGCGTTTCTGAAAAATCAAAAGTTGTCTCGTCACCTGCCAGGTCATTGTGTAAAATTAGGGGAGGCTTGTTAGGTGTCTCAATTGGCCTTTGTTTACTGAGGAATGCTTCTCCCATTTCTCTCTTTGTTTGCGGGGCTGCTGCTGGGGATTAGTATTACCTGTGGGATCTGTACAATGAGGACCGGAAATTTGGCAGAATTTTAAAATTTGAGTCACATTTTTATTTAGACAAGTTTTATGACCATACTCCTAAACTCATCTTCTTGGAATGATCCCATTCCAAATGGTTTGTGACTTCAAAATGTTGGGAGTATGGAGTGTATTGCTTTGACTCTCTATGGTGTCCCCAGGCATTATTGTTGTTATTATAGTTTCTATTTTTTTCCTGAGTTTTCAATTCCTTATGACATCTCTTTTGTGTTCCTTATGATTGTTGCATTATTTGTGCCCTACAATGCCTTGTATTTGTGTGTTTTGAATATCTTCTTGTATGAGACTTGAGTCCTGATTATCTGATCCAATATAAACCATCTTTACTTGTATCAGTGTTAAATTATGTGCTCCTGATGGTTAAACCATCCAAATTGTCGATTAGCACATTTATGGTGTTGGGACCAAAACCATTTCGGATGAACTAACCTCTCTCTCTCTCTCTCTCTCTCTCTCTCGGTGGGTGCAAACTGGGTGGTAACCCCCTGCCCTTTCCCATAATCTGGTTGAAGTTGAGATTCAATCCCAGGTTTAGCAATTCTAACCAGGCTACTTGGCATCTTCGAACCAGAAATCAAACCACCCATTTTTGACTATTTTTAAGTTCTCGTATTTGGTTCTCTTTGTTATGTTCATAGATATGACCATTTTGTTCAAGCCAGACCAGACGATTTGCTGAATATTTTTCTCCCACTCAACAGACTCAGTCTCAATATCCATGTCTGTTCTTTCCCCTTGCATGACACTTTTGGAAATTCTGTGAGTTTGCTCGACTGCCCAATGTCACCGAATTGCTCAACTTGGTTTTGTTTAGTTTATCTATAGGTTGCTGGACTGTTGATGGTTTCTGATGTCTGCTAGTAACACAGATCTCCTTCTTTGACCACCCACCAGCACACTTATAAAATTACAAACACGCTCAAACGGCTTCAAACTGTTTGACGTAGACACTGGAAATGCTGATTCTAGAGGGTTTACTTTTTAAAGATTTTGATGCTTTTGTCATTTCTAGTCCTGGTTTTAAAAGCTTATTTTCTACACAGATTGATGGAGGCATTCACTCAAAGTGCAAGACGCTGATGAAATACTCTGGTGAATGTTCCTGAGCTTTCGCAATCGACTGAAGTGCAAGTATGCTGATGAAATAGTCCCGTAACAAATTTGATTCTTGTAAATTTTGTTTTCTTATTTGGACGGTCACATGCCAGCCATCTAGTGAAATTTTGAAGTGTAACCCCACCATCACCCTTAATCCCGCCCCTTCCCTCATCCACATCTTCATCCTCGACAAGCTTGTTTCAAGTTACACTATCTAAACATATGGTGAATGAGAAGACAATTGAGAGTCTGCATTATTAGCAGTAACTTGATCGGTATATCTGGGTGTTTCAGGGCCGTTGATAGCAATAGAGTTGGTTATTCATGCTGTAAAAGCAATGGTAGTATTCCCTACTAGCATTGAATGTTTAAGACTTTGTATTTTAGGATGGCTCAACATAACACTGTTTTTGTGCCCTGATCTTGCAAAATTTATGTACATATAACAGGAGCTGGTGTTGGAATGACCTAATTGACCTGGAAATATTTACTTGAGTTACTCTCTCGTGTTGTTTCTTTTGATGGTTGCTAGCTGACAATTTTGTTGTTTGGAATGACCATTTCATTTCATTTCATTTTATTTTTATTTTAGTAAAACCAAAGACAGTATAAAAGTAATGGGAAGGGAAGTCTGCAGGATTGACATGTGTCAAAGATAGGGATTAATAAAGCTTGACCACTCTGCCACAAATACATATTGGCTTCTATAATAAAGAGATGCTGTGAAAAACTAACAAATGTATGCGGGTTTGATCACTTGATGTAGAGTCTATTTAATATTAATATTGTGTGTAGTTGATATGGTTGTTGATGTCTTTATTGGTGTTGTAACATCTCAATTCTTATGACCAAAAACATATTAATTCAACTCGTGACTAAAAGATTAACATAAAAATAAAGATATGAACTTCATAGAACAGAGTTTCCAATCTTGTCTTATTATTATTGTTTTTCTTGTTCCCTCTCTCCTTCAACAATCTTAATCTAGATGTGACCAAATCAATGGAAAGTTTCATGGGGTTGGGGTAGACTATCTTACAAATACTTATTGGTCATTGTGATTGATCAAGGATTCTCCATATTCAAATTTCTCTATTTTAAAACACTCATAATCATTAAATTATTAAAATTCTTGATGTGTGATAATCTCAAAATATGATTCAATAGGTATGAATTCTCTCTCCTCTTTCAACAACCTTAATCTAGATGTGACCAAATTAATGGAAAGTTTCATGTGATTGAGGTAGATTATCTTGCAAATACTTATTGGTCATTACGATTGATCAAGGATTCTCCATATACAATTTTTTGTATTTTAAAACACTCATAATCATTAAATTATTAAAATTCTTGATGTGGATAATTTCAAAATATGATTCAATAGATATGAATGTTTTGGAATAAAGGAAAAAAGAAATTTGAGAATAGACAATCCCATGTCACTGCGAAAAATAAATATATATACACGTACAAATATTTACTTTTGTTCACTGTAAAATGATTTTTTTATTATTGCAATATTATTATGGTTACTAAAAATTTACTTAAAATTTTATTAGAAAACACTCACTGGCAACATGTGACTTTGCTCACTATTATTTGTATATTTGTTTGGCCTTTTCATCTGTGCAAGGGAGATTGGATCCAACTCCTCTATGCTAGTTCCTTCTACCTTTCCTTTTTTGATACGGCAAGAAGACCTAACAGAACAAATCCTTTATAGGAGATCAGGATAGTAGTTAGTCGTCTTGTGGCCATCTGCTTACATTGATTTGATTGAGATTTACTCATGAACTCAGCAACTGGATTAACTAGCTTTTTCACTTCGGAAGTAAAGAAAGAAATCATATAATTTTTTATACTTTGTTTCTTTTAATAATGAGTGCTGTCAACAATTGACGTGACTATTTTATAATAAAATTTTCAAACATTTTTTTGAGCACCATATAACATTAGGAGAAGCAAAAATATTACTCATAACTTCAACAAGAGTAAAGTGTCATAATAAATGAAAGGCAACACAAACACAAACACTATTCATTTTCCAAAATTTAAGAATTAATTCATCATAACAGTATATAAAATGCATAAATACGCAAGTAAAAGAGCTACAAAAGATTGTAAATGGTGTTGTACTCATAGAATCAGTTGATCAAAAGTGACCTGAATATCTTATTGGTCAAGCCACAATTAAAGCAACCACAGCCAGTACAGCTTCCATGTCTTATTTTTAAAATAATGAATAATATAAAATTTGTTGATCTAAACAATCTAAACTGCATATTAGTCAAGCTACAATCATGGCAGCCACAGCTAACACTGCTGCCATGAAAAATTGATACCCAGAATTTAGTATCCCACGAGCAGAGTTTTTCATAGGGGCCGGTGCTGGAGCTCCGCCTTCTACATTGATGACAAGCTTTTGGCCAAACTGAGCACAGTGCTGCCCCACGCCGCAAATGTACCATTTTTTTCCAGGGACCATAAGGGGAATGATGTCATGCCCAGAGGTCAATGCCTCATTTGATGGTGGGATAATGCATTGGCTGAAGCCGGTAGCGTTCACTTTGAACACGTTATGATTTCCCATAGTGTAGTTAAAAACTGTATGGGAAACAAACAAACAAATAGAGAAGAAGAAATTAATCTAAGTAACATAGTTGAATATTTATTTTAAGTTAATAGAGGAATAATTAAAACGGTTTGGAGATCGTTTGTCCCAAATTTCCCTGTTTCATTGTCATAAAACACACGATCATTGAATTATGTCTCAAGATTCTTGTGTCTTAAGATTTTCAATGATTTAGTGACACAATCGTAGAATTATGACTCGAGATTCCCATACCTTGAGATTTTCATGTGATTCAGTGACTCTGCGAATGTTTTTGGACAAAATCATAAAAACAATTAGGAACATAGTTGTGGCCAGTAAAAATGCACCTTGATTTATATTATGTAACCAACTAAATTGTTTCAGTTGCCCAAAGCCTATGACTGCCATATGGGAAGCCATGAATTCGAACTTAAGAATTAGATCAATAGTTAAAAGCTCTGTTCCCTACTCTTTTGATCCAACCCTAGTGAAGACTTAGGCTAACAATTACTTGGATGGTATATAGGACAAAGGATTATATACATCGAGGGATAAGGGTTATTATTTGGCTCGAAAAGTTGCCTAGGCCATTGAGCTTTTATTCGACCCATGGCTGAAATTCGATTTGATAGCTTGGCTATTATGCGTGAGGTGGCCCACAAATTGGACAAAAATAATACAAGATAAAAAGTATAATAAAAAAAATATCTTGTATGGGCCAAGTCTGTTAGACAGAGCTTGAGCTTAAGGTTTTGACTGTGGACCAGCCTGACTCAACTTGTAAGAAAAAAAACTTGTTGGGCTTAGCCCACGGGTGAATTTGGGCACCAATTTCACAGTTTGGACTAACCAGATGTCCGATCTTATCCAAAGATCAATTAAGATGATACTCCTTGCTAGTTAAAATAAAAATAAAAAAATAAATGAAAAGAAAAGAAAAACTAGATTACCTAGCTTGTCTCCAACATAGAATACTTTATCCTTGGCCCAAGCTTGGTAATCATAGTTAATGGTCCAGCCACTAGAGTCACCAACCCAATATTCAGTAGCCATGGTGAGTGAAGGAAGAACAACTGCCACAATGGCAAGGATGACAAGAAAATTGTTAGAAGCCATAAGAGCTCTCTTTGATTCACCTTTTTGAAATATTATTTTGTATTGGTTTCAATGAGCTCTAATGGCTGTCTCTGGATGGGACACTGTAAGCGTCTCAAGGGTCTATTTATAGTGTTTTTTCTCTTTCAAAATTTCATTAAATGCCTTAAAAAACAAAACATGAAAAACAGGCGTTGGTCGGCATATAATCACCTTGGGTTCTACGAGGGAGCCACGAAATTCACGAGATTTACTTTTGATTTTACTATAAAAATTTGGGTGGTGGAAGCAAGAAAAGTAATTCTTCAGGATATAACTATGTTATATATATATATGTGAACATTGTCATTTTGTGTTTGTTTCAGGAGATAGCAAATTTTGTTTTCGGCCTTTGTATATGAAGTTGATATTTATTTTTATTTTTTGATGAAATTAATTTTATTAAAAAAAAATTAATTTTATTCCACCTACTTACAAGTCGATAGGGGTGTCAAAATGAGCCGCGGCCCATGGGCGGTTTGAAACCTATCCGCGGCTCGAGGTGGGCTCGACCTGGTTAGGCTTGAGCCCAATTCGGGACCTTGGTCGTCATTTTGAAGCTCAGCTTGGCCCATGAGTCCCGCTTGCTTGGCCTGACTCATCAACCCACTCAAAAGCCCAGCTCGAGACCTTGCCCACCCACCCCGCCCAAGGCCCAATGTCATTTTTGTTGAAAAAGAATAAAATTTTGGTAGAAAAAAAAAAATGTTCAGGCCCGCCTAGGTCTGTCGGCCTGAATACTCCCTAGGCTGGGCCTAATTTTTTAAATCCATGGCCCGGCATGGGCTAGGCCGAGCCCGGGCCCTAGTGGGTCAGGTCGGACCAAATTTACACCCCTTCAAATGTGTAAATAAAACTCTCATCTTGAGAAACTGTATAATCCATTTAATGTCATAAGATTTCTTATGAACCAATTGGTCCTATTGATTTTGGTAAGGTGGATTTAATAATATATTCTCTCGGGTGGAGTTTTACGTTTCTGACTTTGTTCCATACAAATTTAAATCGATTTTTCTATTTAGGAAAAAAGTTTGAGAATATTTTTTGGGATTTTGTAGAGGGAATCACGTGATTAATTAGAGTGAGACCACAATTTATAAAAAATAATAGATTTCTAACATATATGTTGTATTGATCTCGGTTTCGACCCTTCTTTCATATTTTGCCACTTCAACTGGGTAGGTCGGGGATCGATTTTGACCTGGTCAACTTCGAGGGTCGAGATGCCCGGTCAGTTCACCGAAAGCAAAAATGCAAAATGCATTCGAAATTGCTTACAAGAAAGTGTATTTGACGTTCGAGCGGGGCTTTCCACGCGCGAGCAGACCTTGTTATATCAGTCCTTAAAATTAGGGTTTCATATCATTTCTTGCAGCCCCCTCTCTCTTTAAAACTCTCCAAAATCCTGATCTAGAGCTTCTCTCTCTAGAAGTCACATTCTCTCTTTGATTTCTCCAAATCCTTTGGGACTTAAGCCTAAGTTTTTCACCAAAGTTAGTCATCACCTCGAGGGCTTCATTCTGTGCTGTGAAGATCGAGTTTCGACACCGTTGATTTTAGGGGTTTCATCTCATTTCTTCTTCAAAACTTGAGGTAGGGATTTTCTTTGAGTTATATATATATATATATTTTTGCAAGATCTAGATGGTTTTCGAAATCATCATTTGATAGCTTCTGAAAATTTATTTTAATTTAAGAAGTTGAGCGATTTTGAAAGTGGGTTTGTCTCTTGTTCTTTTAAAATAATCTCATGGGTTTTGATCTTTGTTGATTGAAGAAAAGATGATTTTCGAGAGTTTTCTGTCAAAAGATTTGAGCTGTGTAGTTTGGTGAGAAAACCTAGAAATTGGGGATTTTAAAAGAGATTGAAAATCCATGGGTAATATTGTTATATTTAATTTTGTGTGCCAAAATAAATAATGTTTAGAAAATTTCTTATTTATATTTGTATAAATGATTAATTTTGTGGATTATGAGAATTGTTGTTCATTTTAGAAATGGTTATTCAGAATGTTGATATAGTCTTGAAATGACTAAACTGTTGAGAATACTTGAGAAGAGGAAATTGTGTTATTCATTGGATGATGAATTGGAATAAAAGTATTTATGTTCATATTGTGAAATTGGCATATCATTTCATTTTATTACATTAGACTTTGAATGTTGATTTGAAAATTTGCATTGAGAAAAGAATGTTGAGAAATAAGTTTTTATGAAATGGTTTTGGGGTAAATATGTTGGTAAGTCTTGATAGGTGGTGTAAAATAAGTTGGCTTGCGGGTCCGGGGTGAAAGACCGAAAAATCTGCGCGGATAGGTGTTGAGTCTTCCGGTTAATACCGGTAAAAATGACAATTTGGTAGTACTCGTATAGTCTACTTGCAAACACCGGCCTAGGGATTACTAGAGACGTATTTACCGCCCTTGAAACAAATTGTTAAGTTTTGAACAATTGAAATTGCATGATATCATTGAGCATGATGGTTTTCAAAAGATGAAAATATAATTTATCTTAAAAAAGGACATAGCATGGCATGTGTATTTCATCTCTTGAGACTTGTATAAAATGTATATACTTTGTTAAGAATTTTCTACTAGGCTTTATGCTCACCCTACGAGATTTTTGTGCAGGAAAAGATGTGGTGATTTTACCCAACTAAAGGCTTGGAAGTATGTGTATTGGGAGTACAATGCTCTCATTTTGAGTGACTCTGTTTTGTAAGCCAAGGGCTGTATTTGTATTTGAGTTGAAACTCCATTTTGTATAACCAAGAATGTTCTTGGATAAATTTGTAAGCCTGTAGGGCACTTATTATCTGTTTGGCTTCCATTTCATATTTGTTGTAAAATGCATGTTTGAGATTAGAATTGGAGCATTGAGATGAGAATAATATGTATTTGGCATTTGGGATTCAATGGAAATAAGTGTATGGATTAGTTAGCTATATATATATATGTGTGTGTGTGTGTATGTCTATCAGGTGAGTTTTGTTGCATAAATAGATATATCATGCCCAATTTTTTTTTGGGTTACATATGTTGTGGATGACAATAGAAAATACATATCCACACATGACCAACATTTTATTCCAAAAAAATAAAATATTTTGCAAATCAATTAAGTCACATTTTCATGTCATATTCTTGTTAGGGATCCCATTCAACCAGTGTGGGATGTAATATTGTACACATTTACATTGGCTTACATTGAGCATAAGCTATAAACAAAAAAATCCCCTATATGAATGGAATATAGTTTAGGAGATAATTAACCTCATCTAATGTGGCTTCCAACATCAAATAAATAAATTACAACAATGAGTTTATTGGGGGAAATTATTTATTTATTTATATTTTCCTCTATGCTAGTTCCTTCTACCTTTCTTTTTTGATACGGCAAGAAGACCTAACAGAACAAATCCTTTATAGGAGATCAGGATAGTAGTTTGTCCTCTTGTGGCCATGTGCTTACATTGATTTGATTGAGATTTATTCATGAACTCAGGAACTGGTTTAACTAGCTTTTTCACTTGGGAAGGAAAGAAAGAAATCATGTAATTTTTTATACTTTGTTTCTTTTAATAACGAGTGCATTGTCAACAATTGACGTGACTATATAATAATAAAATTTTCAAACATTTTTTGAGCACCATATAACATTAGGAGAAGCAATAATATTACTCATAATTTCAACAAGAGTGATGTGTCATAATAAATGAAAGGCAACACAAACACAAACACAAACGGTATTCATTTTTCAAAATATAAGAATTAATTCATCACAAGGTATAAAAAATGCATAAATACGCAAGTAAAAGAGCTACAAAAGATTGTAAATGGTGTTGTACTCAAAGAATCAGTTTATCAAAAGTGACCTAAATGTCTTATTGGTCAAGCCACAATTACAGCAGCCACAGCCAGTACAGTTTCCATGTCCTATTCTTAAAAGAATATAAAATTTGTTGATTCTAAATTGCATATTAGTCAAGCTACAATCATGGCCGCCACAGCTAACACTGCTGCCATGAAAAATTGATAACCAGAATTTAGTATCCCATGAGCAGAGTTTTTCATAGGGGCCGGTGCTGGAGCTCCGCCTTCTACGTTGATGACAAGCTTTTGGCCAAACTGAGCACAGTGCTGCCCTACACCGCAAATGTACCATTTTTTTCCAGGGACCATAAGGGGAATGATATCGTGCCCAGAGGTCAATGCCTCATTTGATGGTGGGATAATGCATTGGCTGAAGCTGGTAGCATTCACTTTGAAAACGTTATGATTTCCCATGGTGTAGTTAAAAACTGTATGGGAAACCAACAAACAAACAGAGAAGAAGAAATTAATCAAAGTGACATGGTTGAATATTTATTTTAGGTTAATAGAGGAATAATTGAAACGGTTATGAGATCATTTGTCCCAAATTTCTTTGTTTCATTGTCATAAAACACTCACGATCATTGAATTATGTCTTAAGATTCTCAATGATTTAGTGACACAATCGTAAAATTATGACTTGAGATTCTCATACCTTGGGATTTTCATGTGATTCAATGACTCTGGGAATGTTTTGGGACAAAATCATAAAAACAATTAGGGACAGAGTTGTGGCCAGTAAAAATGAACCTTGACTTATATTATGCAACCAACTAAATTGTTTCAGTTGCCCAAAGCCTATGACTCCCATATGGGAAGTCATGAATTTGAACTTAAAGAATTAGATCAATAGTTAAAAGCTCTGTTCCCTACTCTTTTGATCCAACCCTAGTCAAGACTTAGGCTAAGAATTACTTGGATGGTATATAGGACAAAGGATTATATACGATGAGAGATAAGGGTTATCATTTGACTCGAAGGTTTCCTAGTCCGTTGAACTTTTATTCGACCCATGGTTGAAATCTGATTTGATAGCTTGGCCTATTATGCATGAGGTGGCCCACAAATTGGACAAAAATAATACAAGATAAAAAGTACATTAAAAAAAATATCTAATATGGGTTAAGTTCGTTAGACAGAGCTTGAGCTTAAGGTTTTGACTTTGGACCAGCCCGACTCAACTTGTGAGAAAGAAAACTCGTTGGGCTTAGCCCACGGGTGAATTTGGGCACCAATTTCACAGTTTGGACTAACTAGATGTCCAACCTTATCCAAAGATCAATTAAGATGATACTCCTTGTTAGTTAAAATAAAAAAAAATAATAAAAAAAAAAAAGTGAAAAGAAAAGAAAAGAAAAACTAGTTTACCTAGTTTGTCTCCAACATAGAATACTTTATCCATGGCCCAAGCTTGGTAATCATAGTTAATGGTCCAGCCACTAGAGTCACCAACCCAATATTCAGTAGCCATGGTGAGTGAAGGAAGAACAACTGCCACAATGGCAAGGATGACAAGAAAATTGTTAGAAGCCATGAGAGCTCTCTTTGATTCACCTTTTTGAAATATTAGTTTGTATTGGTTTCAATGAGCTCCAATGGCTGTCTCTGGATGGGACACTGTAAGGGTCTCAAGGGTCTATTTATAGTGTTTTTTTCTCTTTCAAAATTTCATTAAATGCCTAAAAAAAAAAAAAACACATGAAAAACAGATGTTGGTCGGCATATAATCACATTGGGTTGTACGAGGGAGCCATGAAATTCATGAGATTTGCTTTTGATTTTACTATAAAAATTTGGGTGGTGGAAGCAAGAAAAGTAATTCTTCAGGATATAACTATGTTATATATATATATATATATATATGTGAACATTGTCATTTTGTGTTTGTTTCAGGAGATACCAAATTTTGTTTTTGGCCTTTGTATATGAAGTTGATATTTATTTTTATTTTTTGATGAAATTGATTTTGTTAAAAAACAAATTAATTTTATTCCACCTACTTACAAGTTGATAGGGGTGCCAAAATGGGCCGCAGCCCGTGGGCGGTTTGAAACCTATCCGCGGCTCGAGGTGGGCTTGACCTGGTTAGGCTTGAGCCCAATTCGGGACCCTGGTCGTCATTTTGAAGCTCAGCTCGGCCCATGAGTCCCGCTTGCTTGGCCTGACTCATCAACCCACTCAAAGCCCAGCTCGAGACCTTGCCCACCCACCCCGCTCGAGGCCCAATGTCATTTTTGTTGAAAAAGAATAAAATTTTGGTGGAAAAAAAAAAATGTTCAGGCCCGCCTAGGTCTGTCGGCCTGAATACTCCCTAGGTTGGGCCTAATTTTTTAAATCCATGGCCCGACATGGGTTAGGCCGAGCCCGGGCCCTAGTGGGTCGAGTCGGACCAAATTTACACCCCTAGAAATGTGTAAATAAAACTCGTATCTTGAGAAACTGTATAATCCATTTAATCTCATAAGATTTCTTATGAACCAATTGGTCCTATTGATTTTGGTAAGGTCGATTTAATAATATATTCTCTCGGGTGGAGTTTTACGTTTCTGACTTTGTTCCATACAAATTTAAATTGATTTTTCTATTTAGGAAAAAAGTTTGAGATTATTTTTTGGGATTTTGTAGAGGGAATCACGTGATTAATTAGAGTGAGACCACAATTTATAAAAAATAATAGATTTCTAACATATATGATGTAGTGATCCCGGTTTCGACCATTCTTTCATATTTTGCCACTTCAACTGGGCAGGTCGGGGATCGATTTTGACTCGGTCAACTTCGTGGTCGAGCTGCTCGGTCAGCTTACCGAAAGCAAAAATGCAAAATGCAGTCGAAATTGCTTACGGGAAAGTGTATTTGACGCTCGAGCGGGGCTTTCCACGCGCGAACGGACCTTGTTATATCAGTCCTTAAAATTAGGGTTTCATATCATTTCTTGCAGCCCCCTCTCTCCCTAAAACTCTCCAAAATCCTGATCTAGAGTTTCTCTCTCTAGAAGTCACATTCTCTCTTTGATTTCTCCAAATCCTTTGGGACTTAAGCCTAAGTTCTTCACCAAAGTTGGTCATCACCTCGAGGGCTTCATTCTGTGCGGTGAAGATCGAGTTTCGACACGTTGATTTTAGGGGTTTCATCTCATTTCTTCTTCAAAACTTGAGGTAGGGATTTTCTTTGAGTTATATATATATTTTTGCAAGATCTAGATGGTTTTCGAAATCATCCTTTGATAGCTTTTGAAAATTTATTTTGATGTAAGAAGTTGAGCGATTTTGAAAGTGGATTTGTCTCTTGTTCTTTTAAAATAATCTCATGGGTTTTGATCTTTGTTGATTAAAGAAAAGATGATTTTCGAGAGTTTTCTGTCAAAAGATTTGAGCTGTGTAGTTTGGTGAGAAAACCTAGAAATTGGGGATTTTAAAAGAGATTGAAAATCCATGGGTAATGTTGTTATATTTAATTTTGTGTGCCAAAATAAATAATGTTTAGAAAATTTCTTATTTATATTTGTATAAACGATTAATTTTGTGGATTATGAGAATTGTTGTTCATTTTAGAAATGGTTATTCAGAATGTTGATATAGTCTTGAAATGACTAAACTGCTGAGAATACTTGAGAAGAGGAAATTGTGTTATTCCTTGGATGATGAATTGGAATAAAAGTATTTATGTTCATATTGTGAAATTGGCATATCATTTTGTGTGAGTGATTTTCTGATCACACAGCCCGCTTAGTAATCAGCTAGAGAGCACTGGCAGAATAGATGGCTTCAGTTATCCTGCAACAGAAAGAAAAGGCTCCGGCGGTGGCTCCTCCACCCGGGGGCACTCCGACGATCAAGTCAGTATATCTCTCAAAGATAATCAAGTGCTAAACTTACTGCTCAAAGCATAAATTGCGTACCTTAGACCCACGGAGGTTCCTCTCTTTTATAGTTCACTTAATCCTAGTCCCACTAGAAGCCTGACTTCTATGGATTCCAATTCAGTACTTACTTTGGATTCTTCAAGAGATAAAGATAAACTCCCTAAGAACTTTATCCTCATCTTGACTAAGTCTCTTCTTCATTCTAGGACTCTTGTCCCTTATCTTTTATCCTCTTATCTCGGATTCTGATATCTTCGGAGAAAACCTCGGCCTTGCCGAGATCACCTTGGCGTCATGACCAGGACACGTGGTACCTCGACTGACACATCGGCATCACCTTGTCACGTGTTGGTACTCAGAAAATATATCCCCACAACTGCCCCTAGGTTCTATTACCTCGGTATTCTGAGGTGATAGAACCTATATCATTCCGTTTTTCCAGTACGTCGGTTTTCAGTATCTCAGCCGAGATCATTATTTTGGCCGATATCCTTTTATTGAAGAACAAGAATTTCAAGAACCCTTCCACGCGTATGAGCTGTCATACACCATAATTCAACTGTTTTTAATCACGCGTTTCTTTCTTACTGGTTCGTGCTTGTGACGCGCCCATAAGCCGTCTCTTTCTCACGTGCGCCGTCTGACGTATACGTTCTTCTAGGCATATTGATTATTTTTTGCCGCCGTTTTCATTTTTGACAAAACCTTTCCCCCTTTCTTCATTTTTCTACTTTTGCATCTAATTTCTCTTGCTTTTTCTCTCTCTAAACTCTTTCTTTCGAATCCGCCATTGCTTAAGCTCCAAGCTCTGCAGTTGTCTTCCGTTCTCTCTTCCTGTGAAGCTTTCGTCGTTCTTGTTACATCCGTAACTGTCGTCTGACTTCGGCAATTTTCATACCAATTTCACTTTTTTCTGGTAAGCTACTATTCCTTTCGTTTTCAATTCTGTTGATATTTTTCATTACTTGTTGCCTTTACTGCATCTGTTGAAACTTTTAATTTGCGATTCATACACCTGAATGTGTCCTTCCTATGATTTTGCCCTTGCCCATATCTTGAACGCACTTATTGTTTCACTACTTCCCTGTATCTTTGTCACTAATCTTGGCCCTGTATTTCTTGTATTTTTTATGCTCTTGATAAACTATCTCTGTTCTTGATTCTGAAATTTCATTCTTGCTTTCTGTTTTTTGTGTCTTTTCTAGATCTGTGCCTTTGATCTTCATCTCCATAGTTTTAGGTTTGGGATTTGTTTGTAGAACCCACGATTTAGGACAAAACTGAAACATTCCTTACAAATTTCTGTACCAGCCCAAACCTAGGTTTTTGCCGAGGTCTCATCAATAAGAAATATCTTCTTTCTGAATTCTAACCTTTCTAATTCAGGCCGATATCATGGGTATGTGGAGACATAGGGTAGATACCCTGACCAAACTTGAGTACTTTAGGCAAGAGTTCTCTATCCCTGCCAATGTCCATCTGAGGCTGGCTGGGGATGATGACTCCATCATGCCTACAGAAAACTCTATGCCCTTTTCCATTGTAGCTTTTACTGAGTGCGGACTCCGGCTCCCACTCAACATCCTTTTTCTCGAGATTCTTCACTATTATAACTTGAACCCCATGCAACTGGTAATCAATTCCTATCGAGTGATCTTTGGTGTCATAGCCTTAGCTAAACAGAAAAACGCTAGGATCACCCTAGCTAATATCCAGTTTTGCTATACCATGTGTGCCTTTAATTTGAAAGAAAAAGGCTACATTTATTACCTCAAGCCGAGGTCTACAGAATTCAAAATCGTAGCCGACCTCCCAGACTCCAACAAGGGGGCTGGACATGACTATCTCATTACCTCGGGAAATTGGGAGTTTGCTCCAGACGAGGACATCCATCTCTTCCCTCTTCCCTGATCAGTTTTAGAGGGCAAGGGTAAGAGCCCAGTATTCATCTTTGCCTGTTTTCTTTCGAAGTCTTAAATACTTTGTCTGTTTCTGACGTCTGTTCTTCTTGTAGCTGTTCGTCAGCCACTGAAAAATTTTCGACAATCCTTTGTCCCCAGCAAGGACTTGTAGAAACTTCTGGACTTGCCAGTCCATAAAAGGAAAGCGCCTGTGCTTCTTAATTTTATTCCATCATACAAGTCAACTTTGCCCGACGTTCCCAAAAGGAAGAAGAAAAGCTTTTCTCCACCCTCTGCTACAACCCTGTTGACTGCATCTATATCACGAACAGATCAAGGATCAACATCTGATCCAGCTGATCAGCCATCCACTTCGGCTCCATACCTGGTCCCAATATCAGAGCGAAAACGTCGGCGACGACTTGTCCTTACTACCGAGATGGGTCGCCCTAAGCCAGTTGCAAAAGATCTTTTGGCCAGTATTCCATCATCTATTGATGAACAGCTAGCACAAACCCTTCCTCTACCTAAGTCAAAAAGAATTAAGAAGGCCCAACCAAAGGCTAAAGTTACTCAGACTGAGTCTGAGGATGCTTTGCCTATATCAAGGTTGGCTGAGAGTGACAAACCTCAACCCTCTGTTGGGAAGAGGCGCTCAGAAACTCAGCCATCAGAGTCCCCAAAATCCAAAAAGCCGAGGTCTTCTTCCGCACGACTTCGGGATCCAAGAAGAGTGATGCCCCCTGGTCCCCAAAAATTACTCTGGAGGATAAGCCAGTCTTGGCTACTGACAGTGCCGACGACATCAATGTCAACGTAGCCTTAAGCACAGCTCTGCTCCTT